GAGCGAGATGTAGAAGAATCTAGCTTTGATGCAGATTGTGGCTAGACGTTCGTCCACCGGGGTGAACGCCAGTACTCGGCGACGGAGTCTCTCTCCTACTACGAATCCAACAGCGAATTTGCGCTCCTTTTCCTGGCAACTGTAGTATACGTCGCAAGGCTTCACGCCAACTTTTCCTTGCCCCGTCCATCGCATTTCTTGGATGGCGGTGATATCAGCCTTTGTCTTCCCGAGGACATCAACCAGCCGGGCAGACGGACCTTCCCCATTAAGTGTCCGGATATTCCAGGTGCATACCCTTAAATCATGGTCCTTTATACGTTTGCCGTGGTCGTCATCAAAAAAAGGGGGTCTTATCCGAGGCTGTTTGCTCTTTTTCATTGGGCGGGGTTTTAACGTGGCCAGCGCACGCGAAATTTTACGCCTTCTCGTTTTAGCTCGCTCCCAAACGGGTGTTTGGTTGCTACCCAGAGGATACGTGGATATAAATATCCGGACGTTGGAAGCTGCGATTTGAACCATACGCACATGAATCGCTTCTGGCCACTCCCAGGTGAATGGCGGTCAAAATTTTTCCGCTTCTGCGCACGGAACCATCCTTCCCTGCGCACGGAACCATCCTCCGAATCGTTACTCACATAATAATCTCGTTACTCGCATGTTCCGTATATGCACCATTAACATGAATCAATACAACCAACATATTGTGCGGGAACGAGACTGTTATTCGTTTCGATATTAAAGTGTGTTGCGTGTATATGTACGTACAAGCATGCAACATTTTCTTTCGCTAGGCGTAATGATACGAAAGATACGGGTGTTGATTGGATTAGTAACGAATACATACGGGTATCGACATTTTCATTAATTTTACAGCTCTAGCCACGAGACAATTGGACAATGAGACAAATCGGCCACGCTTACCTTGCCTTGCCCCGTCCATCGCATTTCATGGATTACGGTGATGTCAGGCTTTATTTTCCCGAGAACATCCACCAACCGGGCAGAGGCACCATCCCGATTAAGGGTCCGGATATTCCAGGTGCATACCCTCAAATCATGGTCTTTTCTACGTTTGCCGTGATCGTCATCAAAAGAAGGGGGTATCATCCGAGGCATGATTTTTTTTGCATTCGGTAGGGTTTTAACGTGCAGGGACCCAAACATAGCGCACGCGGGGTTATACGTCTTGTCACATTAGATCGCTCCCAAAGAGGTGTTTGATCGCTACCCAGGGGATACGTGGATATAATTATCCGGACGAATTGAGCAGCGATTTGAACCTTAAGCAAACAAATCACTTCTGGCCAGTCCCAGGGGTGTGGAAAGGTTTGCAGTACTGGGAAATTTACAGAACATAGTGGTCAAAGGCGAATATCTCAACTAAAACCTGATTTATTTTATAAATTCATATCTCTACATACCTGTATACCAAATAACCGTACAAGACGTTATTCTAAATAAAAAAATAAAAATAAATTTTCCGATTCCCAATGTGGTCCAGGGGAGACTCGACAGGGGTCTACGTTGGCGTGAAAAAATATGACGGTCCACGAGTTGTAAGTGTGGGTCTACGAAAATTCATCTGGTTTCGATAGTAAAGAAACAAATTGGTTGCTTGATAGCATATTTATTTAACTTTAATGTATAGCGCTCTTGACGCACTGGTGAACTTACCGTCACTATGTGTCATTAAACGTGGGGAAACCTTAAAGGCCACCTGCAGACTAAAAAGAAACGAATGTTGGTATAACACTGAGTGAGGCGATGGGTAAATTGCCGGCGGCAGATATTTGAGCAGTTGTGTCTTTTCAATGCTACAGGATGGTACGCCACCATTACCTTTTTTTGAAGAGATTCTAGAGAGAGAGGGAGAGTTCCCTGAGGGGGAATGCTGTTTCAATCCCAGCACTTAGCCCGCACTCGCACAATGTCGAATCTGTTTTGGAACTCACCCGCGATGCAAAATTACATCGTTGGATTTGATATTCGCATTTTTTGAGCTTTGGGAATATGTTAGAAATGAACATCAGGGGGTCCACCGAAACCAGTAAAGTCTTGAAAGGGGTCTTCGAGAAAAATAACTTTGGGAACGTGTAGTATACTATGTAATATACCTCTGCAATTTTGAAAGAAAAGATAAACTAAAAATGTATACATCGTTTCAAGCTGTAATTAATTAAGATTGGCTGTACACAAACCGGTCTATAGTTTTATCAATAATCTCAGATTGGTTCGCTCACACAAACTTTCGATGTACACTTAAAGCTCAGTTAGTCTAGACTTAATTTCCGTAACTTAACTGAACTTAATATTTTGGCCAACCTGTTATATGAGAAACTGTGTTGGTGGTTAGTTAAAACTTAACTAACCGCAAGAAACTTAAGAACCTGTAGATTTTAGGTTCTTAAGTTACGGCCTTACGGAAATTGAGAGCGGGGAGAGAATCAGGCATGCCAGACTCTCGTTTTTGTACTTCTTAAAAATAAACGAAAGCAAACATTTTTGTATGCATGAATTTTTTTGATGTGGCATTTTAGGCGGCGAACTGTTAAACAGCTGAAAAAGAGAATACAAAAACAAACAAACGCGGGGGGAGGGCGAGGTGGTGAAGGGCCCCCCTTCCCCTACCTGGTTACGCCCATGTTTGACCACTCATTCCTTCTTTATTTATGCATCAATTTTCTTCATTAGTAGCTTGATTTTTTGTAACAGAACCAGGTAGCCAACTCATTTTTGAGAATTTCCCGATTTCAACTATGAAATTCCTCGATTTTGCCCGAAATTTCATAAAATTCCCCACCCATAGATTTCTCCTTATTAAAAAAAAATTTTTATTTTGATATATTTTACTGGTCTTTCTGTTTATTTTATTTCTAAATTTTATTTATCTATGTATTCATAAATCAACCCTAACTTTTGTAAAGTTAGTGAACAAATAAAAAATAAAAAATGTACATATAATACTTACATACATACTGTGGTCGATAAAATTTTAGTCGCCCCAAATTTTGACAAGCTTTCAGAATATTTTTTTTTAGTTATTTAATTTGAGTTTTTTATAAAAATATAGTTCATTCTCCAATAAAAACCGTATAAATCCAAGTTTCAAACTTTCTGCAATATTGAAAAATTCAGCAAACTTTCGTAACAATTTCGAGCTTTTTTGATTCGATTCCCTAGAATGATTTTGGGTATGCAGTATTGTAGCACACTCAGTTCTAGTATAATAAAGTGCAAGTTTCAAGTGGCTAAAAATTTTCCGTTTAGAATTTTGTTTGGTGTTGGTTGCGGTTTTTTACCATATAAAAATAAATTGTTTCATTCACTATAGGAAAGCAAATGCGACCAAGAAAATTCTAAAAAATCAACGGTTATTTGCATAAATGGCAGGGTTGCAAAATCAGTACTTTTAGTTGCAGTTGTATTTCTTATGCAACTTTTTTAACTCATTATGAAATTAGTGAAGCAAAAAAGAAAAAAATTAGTCACACCTAATTCCTCACAAAAAAACCAGTTCATCCCCCGGTTCCCCACAAAAAACGGTCCATTCCCCGATTCCCCACGCAAACTGAATTTCCCCGCAAATCGGGGAATTCCCCACGAGTTGGCTTCCCTGAACAGCCTCTCACACTGCAAAACAATTTACACTGAATCCGGTTTTTCCCCTGTTAAAGTTTGATTTTTTCATCAAAAAATCTGAAATGATTTATTAATTTTTCAGAAACTGTCAGGCCTATGAAAGTGATGTACACGTATATACGGTTTTACTTACTTTCATTACCCGTATTTCATATTAAAATTATTAAATTGGTTCGTAAGATATACGTGATTAAGTGGAACCACTTTTTTTAAAGCTGAATATCAATAAATTGCAAATGTCTCGAAAACTTATCCACAGAAAAAAATTACTTGATTTCCGGAATCACCGATAAATTCTACATAGGCATGGGTTAGTGGCATCCATAAATCATTTTTGCTGTAAACCAGTGTTAGATATCATTGCACTTTATCAATATTAAAATAAAAAAATACTTGAATACACCTTTACAAATAGTTGTTATTGTGTAAGTGATTTATTCACTAATTTTAGTAAATCACTTTCCTTCCAAAACAACACTTCAGTAAAATATCTACTTGTGTAAATTTTCTAAACCATTAATTTTAAAAGTGGCAAAATCACTTTACCGTAATGAAAAGTGGCTATTTTTCAATAACTTTACGAAATTATTCATGCTGAGAAAAATATGTGTGAGTATCCTGAGATAACAAATACTGGTAAATCTTCTCGAAGGTAAGCTTCAATATTTTTAAACTTGTTAAAATGAAAACCCTTAAATATATCGATTTGAAGATAAAGTAACATAAGTAGTGTGTATTAACGGCTCATAATGATATACGTATGTATATGAAAGTAAATAATACAGGTTTAAAAAAAAACAGTTTCTACTTATTGAACCAAATTTCTATATCCGTATGTTATTCGACGCGCTGAATAAGAATCCGAGGTCTGTTCGAGGTCATTTGACGGTTAAGTAGGAAAAAATTCATTCAATAAACCTGAAAATTCATATATATATATACGGGCGTTTCAACTCGCTGAACCCGAATACGAGGTACGTTAACCTCCATAATGTCAGATTCGAGGCCATTTGAGGGTCAAATAGGAAAAAAATGCATTCAATAAAAATAAAAATTCATATACATAGATTTTTGTTGTCGCTGAATCCGAATATAGGGGTCCCTTGATCCTTCAAGGTCATCTAGAGGCCATTCCAAGGTCATTTCAAGGTCAAATTCAGAAGAATCGTATTTAATTTTCAGGACTATTCAATGAAGTTTTCCCTACTTGACCTCAAACCTGACGTGATGGGGGCTAACAGACCTCGGATTCGCATTCAGCGCGTCGAATAACATAAGGATACAGAGGTTAGGTTAATTATGCAGAAACTTTTATTTTTTGGAAACCTGTGTAATTATCCGGCATCTAATAGCTTTACCTTACTTGATGAAGGCTCCTCATTAAGATCGGTGATACGCCGATTCATTGATATACACTGATCTATCAAAAAACCGCAATACCACGGGCATATAAACAGTTTTTCTGTTGGTGAATTTCTTTCGTTTCGTGGCCGCCAAATGTGTCGTGATATCCATATCTGCGATAGCCACCAAAGTGGCCATATCCACAATCTATCCGCTATAATACCATCAGGAAACTCTTTTTCTCTATTTCCTATAAGACCCAAATAGTCGGGAAGGAACGTGTGAAGAGTGCAAACATTCGCTCCTCGCGTTGATGTCATCCAACTTGTGATTGCAATAGAGATGGGCCCGACCAAGTTTAACGGCAGAGATAGGCTAAATTCTTGTATTTTTACTTTGCAGGCGAACTTCGAGAAAATGTAGCATAAATACGAGGAGCTTACTTGTAGTATCAGAACGTATACAACGGCTCTGGCATTGGTTGAAATTTTTAATATCCGAGATGTTGATTCCATTGAAGGCTATGAAGAATATAAATTTGACAAATATTACGTACTTCTACACAATTAGCTCTTACACGTATGTATGTATGTATATAGTATATGCATTATTTTATGAATGACTTAATCATGTTTTTCTTATTTCACAGTTAAATATTAAATATATACAAAAAAATTTGCGTATTATAAAAATTTCCGAAAAATTTCTTAGTATGTGTTTATTCAGTTTAAAGTACTGCGATGCGATTTATGTACATAAATAATGGTGCTGTTGTTTCCAAGAAAAAATTTCGCCTTTTAATTTCCCCTCTCTACTTTCGCCTTCGATCCTGAACTCAACACTCTAGTAAGGCCCTTTGAAGCTTTGCCAAGAAATATGGTTGCCCTGAAAATCAGATGGTTGCTTAAAATGACAACGTTACTAATAAGGGCATATTATTAACTCACGTTCATATATTATTTTTCAACAGATTAAAGGCTATCCAGGTATTTAGGAATAATGTAAAAATTTTATTTTTTACCCTTCGTAATACTGTAATTGTTTTTTCTTTAATTCATTTAAAAATACTGTCAAAGAATTGTTTAATAATAATGTTATATATATTATGCACGCTCCACTCCGCAGGGCCTGGATTCAAGCCCTGGTCAAAGCAACATCGCAAAAAATTTTGAAAAAAAGGTTTTTTTCTTAACATCGGTCGCCCCTCGGCAGGCAATGGCAAACCTCCGAGTGTATATCAGCCATGAAAAACAGCTTCTCATGNCCGCAGGGCCTGGATTCAAGCCCTGGTCAAAGCAACATCGCAAAAAATTTTGAAAAAAAGGTTTTTTTCTTAACATCGGTCGCCCCTCGGCAGGCAATGGCAAACCTCCGAGTGTATATCAGCCATGAAAAACAGCTTCTCATGAAAATACAATCGCCGTTCCGAGTCGGCGTAAAACTGTAGGTCCCTCCTCTTTGTGTGACAACATAAAGCGCACGCCACAAATCGGAGGAGAAGCTCGGCCAAACACTAACATATGTGTAAGCGCCAATCTATTATAATCTATATATTATTCAAAAACAAAGCGCTTATTTCCAGCGATCTACAAATCGTACAGAGACACAATTACATAAAATTAAAGTGCTCATTCTACCACTTTGCACAAACTTTTCAGATTTAAGATTCATTGGACCACTTTGGAAATATTTGCGTTGAAGATTTTAAAATTTTTACATTGAGCAAAACATTGCTACGTTCATTTCTAGAGGCAGCGTTTCAGCGGGACATAGAAGAATGAAAAATTGTTCTGTTTATTCGCTTTCGTCTCCGGTTATGTTTCATATCGATCAAACTATTGCTACGTTCGTGCGTATGGAGGCAGCGATACAGCGGGAAGATCTGTAAAGAAAATGTTTTCCTTGTCTTTGGACATACACAACGTTTTTGCATATCCATACATTCATACACACTATCAACAATAGGGTTGGCAGACCTAAAATGCGGAAAGGGGTACAGATAAGAAAAAATTGGGGGACTTGTGGTACAGCTGAGAAAGAAAAAAGGGTATTTTTCGGGGGATAAATAAAACTAACTGTATTCAACAAAAAATTGATTTATTCGCTTATAGAACAACAAAACCGTTTATAAATAAAAATTCAATATCATTTGAACAAAACAAAGTTACATACACTGGCGATCAAAACTGAGTACAAATTAACTTTGGGTGAGCCCGGTGTACGTTTTAAAAATAAACGTACGTCTTTTTGTAAGACTGATACCAAACTGGTCTTTATTCAAAAAGAATCTTATTTATAGCTTAAAATGTTTACATGAACTTTAGTTATAACTTGAAATTAGTTCTTTTGGAATTTCATTATTGAACATATTAAGTTTCATTATTTATTCAGCTGCAGTTGTTTTGCAGTTGCAACTTTATTTCTTAGTCATACTATTTATTCAGCTGCAGTTGTTTTGCAGAATTTTATTTATAGCATAATAAATTAGGTTTTTTGGAATTGCCTTATTGAACATATTAAGTTTTATTCTTAACAAAGTCACTATTTATTCAGATGCAGTTGTTTTGCAGTTGCAACTTTATTTCTTAGTCATACTATTTATTCAGCTGCAGTTGTTTTGCAGAATTTTATTTATAGCATAATAAATTAGGTTTTTTGGAATTGCCTTATTGAACATATTAAGTTTCATTCTTAACAAAGTCACTATTTATTCAGCTGCAGTTGTTTTGCAGTTGCAACTTTCATTAAGCCATTGTTTACTTAGTTGCAGAAAAAGGATATCAATTACATCATNGCTGCAGTTGTTTTGCAGTTGCAACTTTATTTCTTAGTCATACTATTTATTCAGCTGCAGTTGTTTTGCAGAATTTTATTTATAGCATAATAAATTAGGTTTTTTGGAATTGCCTTATTGAACATATTAAGTTTCATTCTTAACAAAGTCACTATTTATTCAGCTGCAGTTGTTTTGCAGTTGCAACTTTCATTAAGCCATTGTTTACTTAGTTGCAGAAAAAGGATATCAATTACATCATCAATTAAATCAGTTCTTTTCCATTGGTTTAATAAAATTTCTTCATATGAGCATTATTGGAAATTTGTTTATATTTATAATTTAATTGAAAGGCAAAGGCTACTGTTAACCCCACCCCCTTTCTTTAAAAGAATCGTCCCGATTCTTCAGTTTGGTTTGTTAAGTGATTTATTTCTATAGTGAGTTCGTGCAGCAATTCTTCTTGTTTTTTCGAATGTCTGTTTTTATTCCAAACTTCAACTATTTTATAAATTTTGAAAAGTATGTACATGTATATATTAATATCATTACAAATACAATTGTTACAAAAGTCCAAAATACAGGGTGTGACTTAATTTCAGTTTTGACAGAATTAATTAGATTCACATTTTGAAATTTTAAATTATAATCTTCCGAGTCTATATATTTAATAATTTCAAAATTATTCAAATTATTATTCTTAACATATTTCCAAATTTTTGAATCAATATTTTCATATACTGTATTATCAATATTTGTGTAATTTTCAAAAGGAACAAGGTAAACTCCATTTACTGTATATTGTATGATTTCCTGAAACTAAAATCGCTCCTACTTTGATTGCATCTATTTCTTTATTTTTTTCTCTAATCGTTTTACATTTAGCTCTTTTTGCGGATAAAACATCTGATAAACAAGTATTTGTAATATTAAATAATTTTACAATAGGCATTTATCAATTCTTTTTTACAATTATTAATATTTACATATGGCCCAAATCACCGAAAAAGAAACCAAGGGGAAAATTTTTTTTTCTCAGGTTTCGCAGATTTCGGATTATATCTGGGTCATACATATTCTAAGGTATCGGACAACGTCAATATTAACGCGAATTTCCTTCTCTAAAACATGGAAATTCACTTATTCTTGAGACACCTTTAAATAAACGAAAATTAAAAAAG